TATATATATATATATATATATATATATATATATATATATATATATATTAGCCCCCACACGACAGTCAAAATCTCTCGACACAATTTTTTTTATTTTTTATTAGTTACTCACATTGACTGTATAGAAACAAACAAATAAATATGTCAATGCTTTATAGAGTGTAGAGGAGGAGAAAACGGCTAGAGGAGCATGGCTAATAGGAAAATAATTATATATTTTTTTTGATTTATCTCTTTAGATAAGGAAAATGAGTTTGTCCATTTTTGTTTGTATTCAATCAGTAGGTTTCAGGAGTTTGTAATAATACAAACTATTATAATTATCTAGTATATTCATTTACAAGTGTATAAGTTGAAATTATGTGTGAAACTTTGAATTATAAAAATTTTTCAGTAATTTTTAATTTGCAATTTGAATGCATTTTAAATACTTAATTCACTGTAAGTAAAAATAATCGATAATTACAACTGTTTCTATATAAACGATGTTTTTTACATATTAATGTTAATTGATGTATTATTTGGTCGGAATTCATCTATCATTAAATAAAAACAATTTCGCTGAGAGATTAATATTAAAATGCTTCAGGACAATTACACCAAAAACTTTTAATTTTTATCAGTCAATTTTTTTTTGTTGAAATTGTGAATTTTCAACTTTTTGCTATGTAATTTCAACAATCTATAAAATTTGAGAAGTGATTTGTTTTAAACATTTTTTTTTTTTTTCAATATATTAAACTATTTTCTAAAGTATTTGAAAAATCTTGAACTTAATAAAGTCAGGTAAATGTCTTAACATGTACAAAAAAAAAAATTAATTTCAAAAAAATCGGAGTCGCAAATAAATTAACAACAATAACTTGGTATAAAATGCACTACATACATATAATATTGTACATATTATAATGTAGGACATTCTCAAAATATTGTAATGCGTCATTAATTTCATTTTAGTTGGAAAAGTATTTTATCAGTATTCATGAACTGTAATCTAAAATACAAATTAGATATTAATTATATATGATACACGTTTGTTTTATCATTTAAAGACGTCAATCGTTTTGTTTTATCATTGTTGTTGATAATGATTGAAAAAATTAAAAACTTAGATTATTTTCACTAAATATTGTTAAATTTTTAGTAGATAATACGTATGAGATATTGTATCTGACTTGAACGTGAGACATAGGTATTTTACTTATCATTGTATCATTTTAATAACTCTTGGGTTGAGGAAAACGATTTCTTAACTTTAGTCAGATTTTTACATTTTTATATACACATTTACTGAATAATATAATAATTAATTTTATTTAATTTTTCAGGTGTTTCGAAATAATTTCAACTTTAAATAATTAGAAGATAGTGAGAGGATTTAAAATATTTATTTATTTTATCCATCGAAATAGATTTATAAAAAACGAAATGGGTGAAGCAACGAAAATATTTTTCTTGTTACTTAACAAAAATTTTTTAGTAAGAAAAAAACATTGGGTACAATCAATTTTTGTACAAATTATCATTCCAATTTTGTTATTTTTAATTGGAGAAAATATCCAATTAATGATCGATAGTACACCTACACGTATACCTTACAATTCATATTATGAAATTCGAACTCAATCTAACTTATTGAAGGATGTTTCAATTTCTGGAACGTTTATTAAGTATACACCCCAGAATAATTTTACTAAAAAACTCATGGAAGCCACAAGGAATTGTCTTAAATTAAAAGATTCAGGTAATGAACTTACTTTGATCTTGCCTTTACGATTATTATTTAATAATGGGACCTATGGTAACTTTTAATTGTAGTATTTTTCATTATTTTTTTATTTAATTAGTAAATTAGCTAAAAAGGTCTTAATAATCATAAATTATTGCTCATTATAATTCATCTTAAAAACGGAAACGATGTCTGAATATTTATTAGTTTAGAAATTTTTTAATTCCAGGATCGAGATGTCAATTTTTTTATTTCTTTTTCTACCGATCAATCGACCTCTTTAATAGTTATTAATAATTTATTTTTAATTTATCATACAAATAATTCATTCGTTATAATTAATTGCTTAACTGAATGCTAGCAAACAAACAAACAGACTGATTGTAGATGATATCAGAAAGCTATATACTCATCAAGATTAATTTTTGTTTTAGATGAAATTTTTCTAAAATAAGTTTATTTATTTTTTAGATGTTGTTGGGTCAAAAGATGAAGATTCTTTGATTGCTGAACTTCAACGCGATTTTTCAACATCGGACGTTGCACCACAATGTGTTGGTGTAATTTTTAATTCACAAGAAAACAGTACACGTTTAAAATATAAACTACGAGTATCCTCTTTGATGCCATCCGAGTTATTTGATTCACAAGAAAATAGCGATCTAGCTAATATTCAATTTTTAAAAGCACCATTAATTCAAGTCCAAATGTGTTTAGACCAAGCTTATATTGATTATGTTGTACCAAACCCTAAATTTAATCGTTCAGAGGTAATATTTTCTATTTTTAAAATAGTTTTTCTTGATAATTAGTTTAACTTGATTAATGTGATATTTTGATAGCTAACAATACAACAAATGCCATATCCACCCTATATTAAAGTTGATAAAGATGCTGTTATTACTGGAGATACATTTGCGGAACTAGCTCGACTGGTATTTCTTATAATATTGTGTATAGAAATATCATTTCCAGCCAATGAAAAATATATCGGAATCAATGTATGTATTATTATAATTTTAATAATATTTAGGAAATTATTATAATTCTTCCTGATTTTTTTAGACGTATATACTTTTTAATAACCGTTAACAGAAAACTTTATTTCTTTTTTTCATTAAATCAACATGTCTTTTATATAATACCTAACTGAATTTAATTTATTTTCAGATTCTTATGTCAGTGAATGGCTTAAAAACTTCTATAAATATGTTAAGTTGGTTAATAAGTGGAGCATTATACAGTACAACTTACTTATTACCGATAGTTGTGCTTTTAAAACACTTTATGCCTCCCAGAGTAAAGCCTTTTTTACTTTATGGTAATGCCTTCATTGTGTGGATTGCGTTATTTTTACACACATGTCATGTCATTGCATTTGGCTATCATATTTCATCATATTTCTGGAAACGTATGTATTGTTAAATATATTATTAATTTGATAAAATTTGAAAACTTACTAATTTGTGATTATATTACAGCTTCTCATGGAATATTCATGACTTTCATGGTTACAACGCTTATGAATATTTTAGCTGTTTTTGTACATGGATATACAATTGAACGGTTTTTTTTATATGCCGGAATTTTATCTCCGAATTTCATATTGAAAAAAATATTTGCCGAACTTACAGACTCCGAGAGTAAATGTACGAACTTAAAACGTTAAATATTATTATTATTATTATTATTATTATTATTATTATTATTATTATTATTGAGAACCTTTTTTTTTATTTTTCATGCATTTCATTTTAGTGACTGGTATCAATTGGTTTAATTTGTTTAAAACAAGTTCGACTACGGGAGCTCCTGAAGGAAGTATTGGAGTTTTGATGATTTTTTCAATAATAGGTATTATTTTTCATTTTTACATGACTCTCTACGTGTATAATGTCCGTCCTGGAAAATATGGAATTCAGCGTAGTCCATTTTATTGTTTCCAGGTTTGTAATAGTAAATAGTGAATAATATGATTTTATCTAATTTTCAAAAGTATCTAAATAATGAAAATTTTTTAATATTTTCAGCGAAAAAGGTTGAATAAAATAGATAATGAAGAAGATCTAGATGGTTTTAATAATACTAATGTTGATAGAAAAGAATTTGAAGTAGTACCTAAAGGTAGTCTCGTATCAGGTATCAAGATTCGGGAGTTGAAAAAAGTCTATACAACAGATTGGTTTCGAAATACAAAAGTTCATGCATTAAAAGGTATATCATTAGACTTTTATAAAAGTCAAATAACTGCTTTACTTGGTCATAATGGCGCTGGTAAAACTACTATGATGTCGATTTTATCTGGACTAACTGATTCGTCTGAAGGAGTTATATTCATAAATGGGCAAAATATTTCAACTAATCCAAAGGTAATTAGTAACAATATTGGATTATGTCCTCAAGAAAATATGGTATTTCCAGATTTAAATGTTCATCAACAATTGATGTTTTTTGGTACATTAAAAGGAAAAACAAAATCAAAAGCACAGTTAAGGGAAGAAGTGAAAATATTATTAGCTAAAGTAAATTTGACCGATAAAAAATACGCGTTTCCTAATCAACTTTCTGGTGGTCAGAAAAGACGATTATGTTTAGCGATGGCAGTAATTGGTGATGCAAATGTATTAATCTTGGATGAACCAACGTCAGGTATGGATGCTGAAAGTAAGCGAGAAGTTTGGGATATTATATTAAAAATGCGAGGTGAAAAAACAATAATAATTAGTACTCATGATATGGAAGAAGCTGATATATTGGGTGATCGGATATCAATTATGCATTCTGGTAACGTAAAATGTTATGGTACATCAATGTTTTTAAAAAATTTGTACGGAAATGGTCAAATTGAAATAACTTTATCGACTGAACAATGGTTTGATGTAAGAAATGTTTCAAATGAAATCGGAATTATAGTAGAAGTCTTGAATCAAAATGATGGGAAAACAGTATTAACTGTTCCGCGTGTTAATAAGTTGCCGCAAGCATTGGATAAGTTAGAAGCATCCAAAAAAAAATTAGGAATCACAGGTATAAGCGTATCTATGATAACTTTAGAACAAGTATTTTTGCAAGTCACTCGAGAAAATAGTGACGTTGTTGATTCAAGTGATTCAATCGGATCCTTCAAGAAATCTCAAGGTTTTGCTTTTTACATACAAACTTTTATGGCATTTTTAGTGAAAAAAATCATATTTGCTCGTAAAAATCCCTGGAATTTTTTGATAAGTTTAATACTTCCATGCTTGGCGGCAGTATTAATTTTGTTAGATCATGGAGTTTCTTCTGGTTCTAATAAATTCACACCTTTGACTTTGGATAATTATCAACATTCAACTGCTTTTGTTTACGCAGAAAATGATACATTTAGTAGCAAGTACAAAGACACTATTGAGTACTATCGCAGTAATGCAATTATTGCCCCAAGAAATATAAGTCTCACGGATACTTTATTAATGTTAGCTAATAATGATTTGAGTACTTATCGCAATAAATTAATAGTATCAGCTGAATTCAATGGGACCAATAACATTTCAGCTAATGGTTTTTACTCCGGAAGTGCTCTTCTTAGTATACCAATTACTATAAATTGCATTACTAATACATTATTAAAAGCACTTACTGAAGATAGTTCCTATGGTATCGAAACATCTGCACAATCACTTCCAGATATCGATAAATTAAAACAACCACCGATGCTAAATACTGATGTTACTCTTTCTATGATCGTATTTTTAGCTCCAGCAATAGCCATGTATGTTACACAACCCTTAACAGAATCATTGTCAGGAATAAAACAATTACAACTGATGACTGGTGCCCCTACATTGATGTACTGGGCAGCAACATTCCTTTTCGATTTAATACAATACATTGTTTCTGTGTTACTACTTTTAGCAACATTTATTTTTATTGACAAGACATTAGGAACTGAGTATTATCATTTAGAGGAAATTGGTAAGTTTATTTTTAAATCTTGATTCAATTTTATAAAAAGTCATAAGAATTAAAGAAACTTGAAGTACTTAATTCAGTTAAAAATTTTACTTCCAAAATTAAGAAATTTTTTTCCTGAGAATATATATGTTAAATTTCAATTTTTTTTTTTTTCTCAAATGTGTAATTCAAGTCCCAGCTTCTTAAATTCGTCAATTATTTTTCGAAAAATTAAAGTCAATCTCCAATTTATTCCATCAGAATGAATACATATATTTTTATTTTTTTAGGAATTTTCGTAGGATTGCTACTATTATTTGGAATTAGTGTACTGCCTTTTGTTTATTTGACAAGTTTTTTGAAAAAAACGTTAAATTCAACCATCATTGCTTTGTGTGTGGCGCCATTAGTACTAAGTAAGTACTTATTTATAAAAAATTATAATTTTGAAGTATTGTAATTATACCTAATATTATCATTTTTTTTAGCTGCTGTGGAATTAATATTATTTGCTTTTTCGATGGAAGTAAAACACGATGCATTTAAAATATTCCGGAAAATTCAAAGTAACTTATTTTTACTCATTCCTCATGTGAGTTTTATTTATGGACACCTTTCATTCCATAACTCTTTGATTCAAAATGCGCGATGTCGGCGAATGCCTAATAAATTATTGGAAGTTTCTTGTATAAATGGTTTCGATCCATGTTGTGGTATGGATTGTTTTAACGGTGTATGTAAAAAACCAATGTCTTATTTTGATGATTTATTTGACATACTTCCAAGTCTTCGGAAAAGTATGGCCTATCTTACCTGTTTACCTGTCATTTTCTTTACGGTCATTGCTTTGTTAGAAATGAAAATTTTCGCTGAATTAACTGCAATGTTCAGACGACGAAAAACAAATAAAAGTTCTATTATTGGAATAGATGAAATGGTATTAAAGGAAAAATCTATTGTGTTTGAAGAGATTTCGAAACTTATGAGAAAACAAAAGAATCAAATATATCAAAGTGAGAATATATTTCTTGTTCAAGAACTAGAAAAATATTACGGAAATTTCCAAGCTGTTAAAGGGATTAATTTCAGAGTTAAAGAAGGTGAATGTTTTGGTTTATTAGGCGTAAATGGTGCAGGGAAAAGTACAACTTTTCGAATGTTAACTGGTGCTTCAATAAAAACTAATGGATCAATGTATTTAAAAGACAATAATATTTCAACGGAGCGGATAAAGTATCTCATGCAAATGGGATACTGTCCGCAACAAGATGCTATAATTGATACTTTTAATTCATGGGATCATTTGTATTTGTTTGCTAAACTTCGAGGAATACCTAGTTCTCAAATTGATTCAATAGTAAAAAAATGGATTTTGAAACTTAATTTGACGGCCTGTGCCAATCAGCCCAGTGTTACCTACAGTGGTGGGAATAAACGCAGATTAAATATTGCTATGGCGTTGATGGGTAACCCGCCACTTGTATTACTGGATGAACCTACAACTGGCGTTGATCCTGCAGCAAGGAGATCTTTATGGAATACACTTAAGTCATGTCAAAATATTGGTCAGTCAATAATATTGACTTCACACAGTATGGAAGAATGTGAAGTACTTTGTAATCGCTTAGTAATCATGGTAGGAGGAAAAATAGTTTGTATTGGAGCTAGTCAAGAATTAAAACAACGATTCGGAGCTGGTTACAATATTCATATAAAACTTTTACCAGATCATAATAATTCAGATATTGAAACAATAAAATTAAAACTAGAGTCTAATTTTCCATGTAAACTTACGGACGAGAACAATGGATTTCTCGGTTATCACATAACTGATCCCGACGTTACATGGACCGCTATGTATACAGTTATGAATGAACTGAAAAATAATATCGACTGCATTGAAGACTTTGTTGTACTATCTTCAACATTAGAACAATTATTTATACAATTTGCTCGAGCACCGACTGAAACCAGTGATTGTCAATTGAATGGCGTTGTATCTGAGTCATGGAAGCAATACAATAATGAATCGGCGTTTTAGTCACCTATTTATTATTTGTAAAATAGTATTAATTCAATCACCACTTAAATGAAAATAATTTCTAATTCATAGGAATTTACTAATATTTTTTATATATTTCATATTATAATGTATACGCATTGAAAATATTGAGTTGGAGAAACAATTTTAAGCAAAACAAAATATTTCAATTTTGCTCACCGTTTTAATTTTTTGATTAAAAAAAATATGAAAAATCGTTAATTCGTCTACATACACTATTTGCTATATCGATTAATAAAATTAATGTTGAAAGCATTCAACAGAAAGATTCAAACTGAAAAGGAATAATCACTAAAAATTTTCTAGTTGAATTTTGAATTTAAAAAATCAAACTGTGCTCTGTTAACAAATTTATGATTAAAAAGAAATTTTTTGTCATTTATTTCATTGGTTTTAACTTCTTTGAGAATTAAATGCTTATAAATCAAAAAGATTGAATTGTACAATTGAAAAAACATTTGTACGGTAAATAAATTTTTTCAATCGTTGTGCAATAAAAACTATGCTTCGGTTAGTTTTTAAATTTAGTATTATTTTTCAAATTTTTTCTAAGAATTACTAATATAATATTAATATATTCATGGTATTTTGCCACCAGTATTTTATAAATTTTTTATGCAAATGTAATAATAAAATTCTATAAATTTAGGCAGATCGAATATTTTCTTGTACATCTAATTGGCATTTTGTGATATTTTTTAGTTGATAATTGTATATAAAACTAAAAAGTTATAGACTCAATATTTTATAAATTAATAATTATTTATTGAAAAGTTTGTAATTCGAATTTAAGTAATTTTATTTGTATCATAATTATATTGCACCAATGCATGCATTATATGATTCTATTAAATTATTTTCAAAAAAAAAAATCATCATTTTTGTATAATATAGGTCTTTTTGCAAATGTTAATTTTAAAAAAGAAAATAAGACTTCGAACTTTTTTCATGCAGTTCTCAGGTAAGTGTATGAATCGTTTTTACAAATACTTACTGAAAATTTACTCTTGTAGACTGTGACTCAGTACTGAAATATAATATTTGTTTTAGAATAACAGTATACTTATAAAACAATAAATTTTTTTATTGAAACGTATTACATTAAAGTCCAATTTTTGTATACACCTGTAGTAGCCTCGTGAGGTGTGCAAAAAAGTAAAATGTAAATACTGACATTCAGATCGTAAACAAAAATATTTACACTTCGTTGAAGAAAAATAAAGACATGTGATGATGTTCAGGCAAATAATTGAATTAAAATGTTAAGTATATTATTGCATCATTAATTTATTATTGAATTAGCTTTGTTTACATGATTAGATTTGTAGTATAAATTAGAAAAGAGTCATAGTATATCTATAACAAAGAATTATTGTGCCAAAATCGTGTCATAATATCGCACGATATTATTTTCAAATATAATTATATATTGCCAAAAGAAATCTATAAAGGATACCGTTTGCAGTCTCATCTTTACACAGTAAAATAATAAGTCTAACAACTGATTACTTTTTGTTATTTATATTATATAAACGGTTTAATATTTGTTTCTTGTTAATAATAACTGTTCAATTTATAAAATAATCGTAATATTATTAGAAAAATTTTTCATTCTTTCAAGTGAACATATTTTTTTTTTCAACTAAGTATTAATGAAAATAATTAACGCAGAATCAGGTAAAATAATTTATTCAATATTGAATAGAAAAATGGCGTTACATAAAAATTCTAAATACTGCAAACAAGGTGTCTCATCAAGAAGGTGAAGATTATGAATATTTGTTACAATTGAACATAATTTTTCTTTCCCTCGCGCCTTTTATTCATAAAAATAATAATATATGTGCATGTATGTCGCGGGTCTTCCTTTATTATTTAATATATACCTTTTTACGTATACTTACTGTCATGCTATCATGTTATAATCCCTTTCGACTTTATGGATTTTAAATATACTATAACTATTGTCAGGTGTTCCAGAGTTATTGACAAGTCTATAAGTACAAAATAACTTGATAAGTAAATTTAATTGTTTTTATTCTTTATAATGAATAAAAAACCAAATTTGTGACTCAGTTATCATTATGACGCACTTTACTTATTGTACTTTTCGAGAAAATGTGCAGTCACTCACTTAGTTTTATATACACTTGCATTCAATAAATATTAGGTTACGTATGTTATGATTTAAAACCATATAAATATTAATTATACGCTTTAATCTAATGTTGTGTTATTGTTCATAAATACTAATTGTTGTATTTAGAAAGTAATAAGCAATAAAGTCTTGACCAATACGTTAAAAAAATTTTTAAAAAGTGTATTTTAGTCCAGCATTTGGGAATAATGAAACTCTAGAAGTAACAGGTATCTGGAAATTTTCCCATTTTTTTGTAATAAACAAATTATTATGAAAAAAAAAAATTGACATCGCACAAATTTTAAAAAACTATTTACTAGTGCAATTTTTCTAAAATATTCTTCTCTACCAGTTTATTGTTTTAAATAAAATCAAAAATTGATCAGATGTCTGCTAATTTTAATTCTGAGTCCGAATATGCTGTTGACACAATTACCAAAAAACTTTTATTTTGGTGAACGCTTCATTTGTTTATACCTTTAATTTCGTTTTTGACAATTATTTTTACATCATAAATGAGGTACTTATAATAATTTAAAAAAATAAACTATTTTTCAGAAAGCTCATAGAAAGTGTAACAAAGCGAAATGATAATAATGTGACCGGAAAGTTATCTTATTCTATGAATATTTTAACAGAATCTAAAGTCAAAATGCAAAATCAATGGAAATCATTTATTAACTCAAAAAGTTTATTATCGATTGTAAAATATAATGAAAATTTTAAGTTGATGCTTAACAAGTACTGGGTAGATGTTACCAAAAAGTTGACGCTTTCTTCAAATGATTATGATGAAAAGAGGAATTTTAATAATCATAATACAGTAAATAATAAAGATGGTGATCAGAAAACGGAAATATCTCAAAATGAAAAACAAAATATGAAAGAATTAAAAAGCATTAATCAAGGAGCCGGTGATTTAAATATTGTTGATAAAAAACAGAGTTTACAATCATCTGTTGTTGCGTCAGACCAATTATTGCAGAATACAAGAGATCAAATACTAGCATTACCACAATTGTTGAACAATTTATTTACAAAATTAAATCCTCGAGTCAAAGAATCCTTGCCATTGACTACAGTACCAAAATGGAAAACATATACTAAAAGTAATGTCACAAAACATAGTATTTTATCGAGAACTAAACACATACTGAACAGTATAGTTATTGCTGAATCAAACACCTCACAATTAAAACGCATCGAAGATTTTCTAGCCCATATAGAACAGTATCCGGAAGCAAGGTATCACGCTCTTAAAGAAGGAGTAGTAAAAGTATTGTTAAGAACAAGGCAAAAGTCTGAAGATGAGAAAGTAAATGGTAAGAATAAACAATTTATTTTCGTAAAATATAGGTTTTACTGTTAATTTTTCTTCTAAAATTATGTGATAAAAAAATTTTTCATAGCTTTTTATTATTTGAAAAAAGTATTAATAGTTATTTACTATTTAAAAAATATATTAACGAGCTAGATGGTTCTTTAAGTTATGATTATCCGTAAAAAAATGATTATCAACTAATGCTTCAATACACCTAAATATTTATTATGTTAATTGAAAGTAAAAAAATTTGTTATGAAAAATTGAAGAAAATTAAATTTTGATTGAGAATAGTTAATCACTGTTGCCTAAATGTTTGCGGTAGTAATTTTATTAAATTAAAAAATTTGGAAAAACCTTTAGCAGTAGGTATCAGTCACTTTAAATCTACAATAATTTACATGCTGCTCCTTTTTCTAAAGAAATATTCACTATTGAAAAAAAAATGTAGTGTATCATTAATCCACAGATTCGGTAGAATCTGGCGCCAAGTTCCGTTCAAATCCGTTGTCAACGGAGCGCCAGACTACCAACGTACGTTCCAACAATTTTGGAACGTACTTGGTGTGCGTCATATTGTGTATTTCAATTTTTTTAAAGTCCTAGTAAATAGATTTTACGAATTTAATTAAAAGTAAAATATTTTGCAACCGCGCACACTAAATACGTTCCAAAATTGTTTTTTTAATTTTTAAATTTACAACAAAATTTTTTTTAATTTCCGAAAATCATAAACAATCATATCGGTTACTTGGATTTTTTAATTTTTTTATTTTATATCTTTTTGTAAAGAAAAAAACTAATTTTTTTTTCTTAATAGTCTTATAAACGTGGACTTGGCGCGATTTTTTTACAGTGAAACTGTTTTTGTTCGGATTTTTTTTTTTTTAAAGTTCAAAATGAGAAAGTAATTACACAAAGAAGAAAGCTATTTATATGTTACTATGAATTTTAAAAAAATGCTAGTGAAGTTGGTTTTGCGTTTCAAATCACAATTAATTAATACCTACATTTACCCAAATTGCACCAATGGGAGAATGGTTCTTGAGTTATACTTATTTAACATACAGTTCTCTTACTCTCAAATTCGTCAAATTCAAGACTATTCTCTAGTAGAAACAAATTTTAAGTGTAAAATTAACGAGTCAATAACTAGTAATAAGATATATGTTAATTTCAAACAGAATCTATTCGAGAAGCTCTTGCTGTCATAGGATACATTGAACCACTTCCTTGTCGAGGTATTAGAATTCTTTCGATTGATGGTGGTGGATTGAGAGGGCTTCTAGTCATTGAAATGTTGAAAAAGTTAGAAAAATTAACAGGGCGTAGAGTACATGAGATGTTCGATTATATGTGTGGAGTCAGTACTGGTGCCATATTAGCAGCGAATTTAGGTATTTATCAATATATTGTATCTCTTCCCACTCTTTGAATATTCAATTAACAAGATATGGTCTATTTATTTGACTAAATGTATTGTTTTTTATTGCAAACAGTCATAAAATGGACTAATACTGATGATGGTACTTATCTCAAATAATTAATTTAATTATAATTTGAACTAATTTACTTTTACTTTGATAAAAAAAGAACTATAAAAACTTTAATCATTATTATTAATATTTTTATTCTAATTTATAGGATCCCCAAAACGAAAATCTTTAGAGGAAATTTCTGATTTATATAAAGCACTCAGCATGAAAATTTTTAATCAAAATGCACTTCGTGGGACAAGTAGTTTAGTATGGAGCCATGCATACTATGATACTGCTTTATGGGAAAAAATGTTACAAGAACAGTTGGGAAATGAAGATCTCATAAAAACAGCCCGTGATCCTTGTTCACCAAAGGTAAAATACTCTTAAGATAACCAAATAAATTTTATAATGAAAAGCCATTTAAAACAAAATTAATTATTATAGTTTTCAGCTATTGCAACTGTGTTTAATGATGCCCACGTAGCGGCATATATATTTAGAAATTATACATTACCACCTCGAGTTGAAAGTCAGTATATGGGCTCATATAGACATAAGTTATGGGAATCTGTTAGAGCATCGGCTGCTGCACCAACATATTTTGAAGAATTTAAACATGGAGATTATATTCTATCTGATGGTGGAATAATGGTTAATAATCCATGTGCAGTAGCGATTCATGAAGCGAAACGTTTATGGCCAAATAGTCCAATTCAATGTGTTGTGTCATTTGGAACTGGTAGAACCCCACCAATTATTCCAAATAATGAAGGTCATATAAAAGAAGGAAATATCGGGTCATCTAGTTGGAAGGATAAATTTTACAAAATTCTAGCAAGTGCTACTGATACAGAAGGTAATTCATTATTCAACTAAAGACATAAATTTGATTGTAAACACAATTAAAAAATTAAAAACAAAAGATGATACTTTGATTTTAGGAGTACATATAATATTGAATGATCTTCTACCTGATCACGTATACTATCGATTTAATCCATATTTAACTGAAATGATACCTATGGATGAGGTAAGACCTGATAAAGTAGCATTGTTGGAACAAGATGCTCAAATGTATATCAGAAAAAATGAAGATAAATTTAATCAAGCTGCAATTGCGTTAAGTCAAAAGAAGACCGCATCTCAGGCAGCTATGGATTGGATTAAACTTCAAAAAGATATATTAGGTCTTTAAACTAATTTATTTTCAAACATTAGTAGAATTGCATTTTTGTTCAAGTAAAGACGTTTCAGTGAAATTCTGGGATTTTTGTTTTAACTGATTTTTTCTTAATTTTTTCAAATTAATTTATGAATTCTACATCTCTACAAATGATTTTAATTCCACTTTTGCAGATACAATTGTAACTCGTAATCATAAAAAAAAAATAACCATAAGTTATTCTAACTGTGATATTTACCAATAGATTTATTCAATTGAACTTTTCGCTAGTGCTCATGACTTTAAGTATGTATATGTTAATTTATTAGATTATTTATTAGAACTCGAGTCAGATTTTGGGACCTAGCAAAAGTTTCGTGAGGCTAATGAAGTTTATTTTGTATTATTAAAAAACAAACTATAATAATAAAAAACTAATTAAGTCTATTTATTATCAAACTTATTGTAGATCGTCATAAGTATTTTAGATTTTTTTCTGTAACGTTAATTGTAATTTGTTGATCAACCTCTGAAATTTATTATGTATTAGACATTATAAATGTTTAAATAAAAGTAATTTTTAAATGTCTTACTACGGGGCGAATTAACTAACCGGTTGATTTACCTTCTCAATTATTTTTAGTTCTATCACCTATTTCATGTACCATTTATATAATTACAATTTTTTTTTTTGAACTAAATAATAATTACAATTCAGTTTGGATTCAATTCCAACTAGATTTTGTTTTTTTTTAAAAATATATATTTATGTTTATATACGTGATTTTATATAATAATGTCTAATAATATACAATAAATTGATCATTCATGTTGCGAAACGATAATCTATGAAAATTTTAGATGAATTTAACTTAAAAAAAAAAAAAAAAAAACCAATTAAATTATTATAGATAATTGTATAAAAGCAAGTATAAACTATAAGTCGTTTTTCAATCATGAGATTCATTTTATGGAATAATTTGGATAATTTTGTCTACAATACTATCCAAGTCATTACCCTCATTAGTTATTTTTAAATTCCATTCACTTCTGTCATCTAAATCGCATTCAGTTTCGGAATCATCAATACCTACGAAAATTTTTATGTTAAAGTAGATAAACAAAAAAATATGAACATGGTTCTATATCTATGAGTTTTACCTGGTGTAAATTTCCAGCCTCGTTGAGATTTCACGTCATTACTACAATTGATTCGAATGGTTTTACAAAGTTCTCCATAAGTTTTTTCAAACCATTCAATATCTGTTTTACGTCTAACATCACTCACTATCCAGATTTTTTTACTGGTTGCTAAATAAATTTTAATAGATATTAGTATTTAATTAAAATAATTAATTTAATATAAAATAAAGAATACTTAATTGTTCGTTACCATTGTACATGTCAATTGCTGCTCTACAAAAATATCCGGTATCTGTACGTCTTTTATCTTCTCCCCATTTTATCATTTCAAGCCTATAATTTTCTTTATACTTTCCATCGCTTAGTAACTGATTTAAATCTAGATTGAATGTATTTGCCCAATGACTTTTTATAGGACCCGAAAGTTTGATAATAACACTTTTTTCAGGACCGAGCCTACATAACCAAAAATATTGTAATCTCACTTATCATTTATTGTAATATTTATTTTACCTTTTAAATAAATTATCAGTAATATAGTCTTTTCCTGACTTTCTTTTACCGCTAAATAATAAAATGCGATCTGGAGCATTTGCCATCATTTAAAATTAATTTTTCTTTTTTATGTAAATAGATACAACTAGTTTTGACGTGTCTAACAATCTCACCTATCATTTACTCACAACTATAGTATTTGTATTCATAATCACAAATACACCGTTAACTATTTAAATTTTACAAAAAAAAAAAAAAAAATAACTTTTTTGTACTAAAACCAATAAAATGGAGAGTAAATTATTTTTTTCAAATAGGATGATCTAAAAAATAATAATTAATTAATCCAACTTAAAATAGCTAATAATATCAAGGAAATAAATAGTTGATTAATTTTTTCATCTTCAAAAAAATAGTATATAACTAATTTGAAAAGAAAAAGTTGATACAATAAATTTGGGAAGCAAGAACAGACGCTACCTGAGGGATACAGATTACTACATCTGAACAGAATGCTTACCTAGGGCAAGTACATGAGGAAAGCAAAAACATTATCGTAGCTATTCTCAAACAATCAATTAAATTTTCACCAAGTATCATTTGTCTCATTTGGGCGTAGATAATACAGCTCGAGGGAACTGTTACCTTAATCCTAAGAATATTATATATTCCATAAATAAAAACCCTTAGGATCATAGTTGACATCTACTACTTTATCTGCCACGCAATAATTTACAGAGACTTGACTATCTTGTCAATCTATTTAGGTATCAACTCATACACTATGAACAAAGTCTAGAAAATCACCCATATAACTTGCAAATAAAAAGAAAAAAAAAACTTGTCATCTTGTAAATAGATTTTTAGAGAATTCCCCTTGACAATAGATTAGTGAATACAAGTTGAAAACAGCTGTTTTCAATGACATTGTCGATTGAATTTGTTAATATCTAATAGATAAAGCTAAAAAATGAATACAACAATAAATAAGGAACGAACTTATCAAATGTTTATTTTCAATTACAAACAGTCATAATCGCTTATTTCGCTTTAGATTCGCGAATGGCTTTACGTTCCGCTGCTCGTTTTACTTGTTGTTTAGGATTTAGATTATGCTTTTTAGCGAATCTTTGATTGCGAAGGAATTTCAAATCCATCTAAAATAGAAAACAAAAACACATTTAGAAAAAGGACCGCAATAGAAAAAATCAGTAATTAGTGATGCTGAAAATATTTAGCAACCGACAATTGTATTATTCATTAACAGCCGGTCCTGGCGATTGCAGCATTATATTTCTCTCTTAGACAAAGAAGAATTTTGAAGAAAACGCTCTGCTATGTAATAGATTTTTTCATTATCTATTTTGTAGCGGAGCGTTTTTTTTGAAACTCTTATTTGTTTAAAAGAAAAACATAAAACTGCACTGGCTTTATAATCATGAGTGCAATAAGGATAGTACCGTTTCTCGCAGTGAGTGCGGCGCGAGAAAAAAAGGGGACCGGTTGTTGATGGATTGTGATCATAAAAAAATAGTCAAAAATTTTTTGTAAAAAAATTGACAACTTCTTTACTGTGGGTTGGTGTATAGAAAAGAAAAACTAATTAGAATTGTTCGTTGTCTGCTAATTTTAAAACAATAATAATAATAATAATAATAATAATAATAATAATCATGTAAATTTACCCCAAGAGTCGATTCGTGTCTGTAACGCTTAGGTTTTTTGATTCCATTCCTGTGAGCCTTGCGATCTAAAAGTAAAACCAAATATTATTAATTATAGGAACTTTCAATAATTTTTTATAATACTTAGACAGCAGACACTGAGTATAATATTATAAAATGAATGACATGGTAGATTAAATATTCGAGAAAAAAATTGGTTTCTAGATTATTCAATGTCATTTTTATACATTTCAAAATCATTTGCTTCAACTTGTTTATGCAAAAATCAAAAATTAATTTCCTAGTACTTGCTATCGCCAATAATAATTTATACTTTTTGTTTATCCATTGAACGATACTTACTCTGATTGTGGTTGGTGTGATTCTTAGACTTGGCCATCTCTGCGGACTTTTGTAACTCGTTGCTGTAAAAAATGAAAATTAATAATTAATTTATCAATAAATTTTAATAACATTTTTAAAATGCAACATTGCATTTGAAGGTTGTACTGTATGAGATGGACGCCAGGTAGATTTTAAGCATAAACAAAGTAATCAAAATATTGTTTGATTGAAAAAAAATTAATTTTGAAATTAGTAATGATGAAATTCTATAAAATTTCTAAGAAATTAAATGATTTTTTAATTAATTTTGAAAAAAGCATGTGATTTTTACATACCACGAGAATGAAAGCCGGAAGTTTAAAGAATTTAAGAGAAGGTTAATTCTTAAGATATAGAATTGTACTTGTGTAGTACATGGTGTTACTCAACCTAGTGGTTAAAAGTATAACTATTCTCACAGATCTCTATATACCGCTACTGTAATGTCTCCATCTGGTGGATATTAATTTATTTTCCATGAAAGTTTACCAACTAAAATTGTGAAACAGCTTAATTATTTATATAAAAAAAAATATCATTTAATAATATTATTTTATAAAACCTTATTTTTATAACATTAATTATTAATTAATTCTAAATTGAATACAAAGTATGAATTATTAATTAATTTTAATTTATTTCATTACAATCCTATATATTAAAATTGATGGTTGATTGAAATTTCAATTAGCTTAGTATCGAAATAACTTGAAAACATGGACCCTGATTCCTTATCAGTTTAGGATTAGAGCGCGCGCGTATGCGCGCAATTTGAATTCCTAGTATTCCATAAAAGTAAGTTTAACAAAAGTATATTGTTTAACGATCTTGTTAGAATATAATTTTATTTGTATCACCATATTTAGTGTTTTACAAAACTGTTACCATATTACATTTACAAAAATAATTGCTTTTTACTTATTTTTCTTTGGTACACTCTTAGTTATTTATAAGTACACACCACTCTCTACACTACATTTTATTTTATTACATCCACTTACAATTATCTTATTTCCTTGCACTTTATAATGTGAATAATCGTTTCTTGCTCTTTTTCACAAATTCTGCACCCCCAGTTATTTTGCCCTTTTTTTTCCGTCCCTCCAAATATTACCGCATCGTAATCTAGCCCATGTTTCTCCCGAGAAAAAATGTTTCTATATAATCATATATAATTGTATATATTACTGGCGAAGAAAGCTCTTGTTTTAGGAACTGGTGCTGGCCTTGTTGGTGGTCTTGCAGGTGCTACAGTATACAAACTCGCAAAGTATGTATTTTATTTATAACTTATTATTATCGTTTTCTCAATCTAACAATTTTTTTCTTCATATCTTATCAGTGATTTTCCTAACGGTGGTGGTGGCGGCCATGTAGAATATGGCTATCCTACTGGATATGTGGGAACTTATGGAGGTCCACGCGGATGCGTGCATGGAGGTGCACACGGAGGTGCACATGGAGGTGCACACGGACGCTTACATGGAGAATTTGAAGGAAATATATTTCCGCAACCTTGCGATCATTATGGTCCACCTTGCGTTGCTAAAGCACCCAATCCGTAAGTACATTTTGTATAAATTACGCATAAAGAAAATTAAATGAGTACAGTTCTTTTATGATAGTTACTAGTCTTGAAGTGTAATTAATTAAAATCTTCTTTTCGTAAAGTGATAATAAATATAATCATTTAATTTTTTCAGTCCAATAATTATTCATTTTCAAAAACTTAGAGTAAGTTTAGAAATAGTTTGAAAGCTTCTTTAGAGCCAGTCTGTACTGTAGGTATTGTAGCACTAAGGTGGCGCAAAAAACCGACTATTTTTTTTCGAGTTTTTTATGAAATCATTTCAGTTTATCATGCTTTGAGAGTCTTTCCCAAAAATCAGTTTAATAAAAAATTTTCTAAGGTTCTCTCAAGATTCTATACACTTTCAAAGTAGAGTACTTAACATTTTTTCGAGCGACTTTTAAATATGGATATCAACGTACTCAATTTTTTTTTGTCAATTTGATAAAGTAAAGAAAATAAATAAAGCACGAGACATGAATGAAAGACAGGAAAACAATTATTATGTTTTTAATTAATAAATGTTTATCTGTCACCTTTGAAATTTAAAAAAATCTTGAGCGACACCTAAAAAATTTTGTACGAGCTGATCTTTTGAGAGTTTTTAAAACATGATAAACTAACATACCTATTTTCATAGGAGAAAAAGAAAATTAATCGATCTTTTATGCCACTCTTTTAATTTTTCTTATTCAGTCAACTTTACTGGACTTAGCATAAAATTAATTAAATTAAAAAATGTAGATTTAAAATTTGAAAATTTGTTTTCAATAAAACTCTCTTTGTGAGTTTCTTATGGAAGTAAAGAAAATAAAAAACAATTTTGTAAATTTTTAGGTAAATAATATGCCCCTAAATTGAAATCTGTGAGTGGTCTGTTTGATTAATAGGATTATTTCATTTTAACATCGCCACAATTTTTAAGAATAAAATCATAAAAAAAATACCCACACATTCAAGTCAGTTTTAAACATGAGATATTGAATCAACATTTCTATTCTAAACGTGGGAATTTCATGAAAACTCAACTTTTCAAAATTAGACCGAAATCAATAACTTCCTACTAGTGAAAATTATTAATTTTCAAAGCGGGAAACCAAAAAACTAAAAAATTGACAAACTATTTTATCTCATAAAAATATTTCTAGGGTCTAGATCCCTTGATTTCAAGCACGAGAACGATTAGTAGATTGGTATAACATAAATTTCATGAAATTTCAATGTGTTTAATATATTTTTTACAGTAATTAATAAAAAAATTATTTTATAACCAAATATTCAATGTTTATTACGTAAAAATAGAATTTAATTTTAATTGAAACAATTAGCCTCAGTGAATTATATATTCCTGATAAATATTAATTTAAAAATTGTTATTTAAATAACTTTAAAGTAGTGAACATTCTACGAAACAAAACTAGTCTGAAAAATATTCATTGAAAAATTTTAAAAAGCTCCTAACTGCAACGTTAAATTTATTTTCTGTCAAGTACTCGGTTTTTAACTTTTTTTTAATTTAAAAATTGAAATGATGTTAACATAATAAATTGCATTGGATCTATGCTAAAAATTGCTGAAAAAATAATTTGTTTTGGTAGTGAAATATTTCAATGCTTTGTATTATGAATTGTACAAAAACGTAGTTCATACAATGACTTGTGTAATGAAATGAAATTATTGAAATCATTAATAAAATGATAAAAATACACTATGGAATTGATACTGGGCAAAGGCGTAGGAATACACTGTAAAAATTTTGCGGCATGAATGCAGAGTCAATGACTTTCAATTAATTTACGTCCTTCGTAGTAAAATTCACTCAGAAAATGATTTTATTCATATCATTAATAAAAAAAACTGCACAGGGTAAATTATTTATATTTTTTATTTTGAATAAAAATAAAAAAATAGTTAGGTATTCGTTTAAAAATTATAAAATGCGTATTTACAGATTTCGTAAATTAAAATTAGCATAACCTTTTACGAATTTTAAAAAAAATTTTGTTTGGAAATTAAAAATTTAAATTTTTTTAGGAATTTGAATATTGGTCAAAATTTTAATTTTTTTCATATTAACAAAAAAGATTTTCTTTCAAATTTGAATTTTTTTTATACTGACAAAAAAAAATTTGTCATAGAAAACTTGTTTTAGCTAAATAAAAATTTATTTTAATCGAAAAATGTTTTTTGGATTAAAATCCACATTTATTCCGAAATCACTCTGCTGAAAAAAAACTCCGTACGCCGAGTGTTTTATTACTTCACTCCAGTACTTCTAGTGATGAGAGTAAAATTCACTTCCAATTTTTTACAGAATACATCATGTAAAAACATATATATTTATAAGAGTATTTATACATCGTCGTTGATACTATAATAAGTATTTCATAACCGGTTTTTCCCATAAGGCCAAACTTGGAATGAAATAAGAGTGAAAATTAGGTCTTATGGAAAAAGCTAGTTATGCGGTATTTATTGTAGTATCAACGACGATGTATAAATACTTATAGATAAAAACATGTTAACGTAAAGATAGGATATGTGAGCAATCATTTCTTTGTTTGAATATAATTTTTTTTTAATAATAATTTATTTAAAAACAAAATTCTCAGATATCTGCTAATTTCAGTATCATATGAATAAAATATAAAGAAATGAAAATAGACAAATTTTAGGTTGATTCAATAGACTCTGCTACCCGAAAATTAATAAAAAATAAATCATTGATTTTCGTAGCGGGAAGTTAAAAATTATTTTTTTTTCGTAATTTTGTAGTTTTTAAGCTTGAAAAAGTCAATAAATTAAGAATCAATCTAAGTGCTTTGAGATTGAAAAAATCGGAACTTTCGGAGTTGGTCTAGGTCATTCATATTGAAGACTATTTTATAAAATAATCATATATGAGTATTAGTAACAAAAAAAAATTTACTTACTAATATAATGAAATTTTTCTAACTTGACATGAGATTTATTTTTTTGATTTGACTGAATTAATTAATGGATTTTTAGACTTTAAGGGCTAGTTTTTCAATTCGGGATAAAATTTTATTCGATACTAAAATATCTCTACATATTTCATATTTATAAATATTGAGGCAATAATAATATTATTTTTATCCCAGATTGAAAAACTAGCCCTAAAATGATATTATTTTTACACGATAAATAACAAAAAATAAATGTGGTTTTTTTTTAACTTTTTACAGATGCTGTTAACACATTAATTTTAAAAAAAGTTTGTCGTCCAGAAGATTCTGACAGAACTTCTAAGAAACATAAAGACGAAATGTGAATTAAATATTTTATCAAATCGATAAATATTTTACACAATATAACTTAGAAAATTGTTTAAATAATGTATTATAAAAAAAGTAACATTTCTTGTAATTTATACTTGTAATAAAAAAAAAAATTTGAATGACATGTACAGTTATGTTTTTGAGTCTTATTCTTTCTAATATACTCTCACTTTCTTTTTCGTATTTAGCATCAATTATTGCGATCGATGAGTACCGTTTTGTCATGTCGCATGCTATTCAACATATAAGCTTGCGCCTGGAATTACAAAATAAACAGGTTAAAATTGTATAAAAAAAAATGGTTAAGGCATATTTTATATGGAAAGTGTGTGCTCACGAAATTTACGTGACTTTCACAATCATTACTTTTGTTTTCTAGCACGAATATAGTGCATGTCTAAGTTTTTATTTTTTCAATGATCGAACGTTATTATTATTATTTTTTACATTTTATTTGCTATTAATAATAGGATAATAGAAGAAAAGTTGCATGAATTAGTAGTATAATCAATAACAAAAGTTGTTCAGAAAGTCTAATTAGATACATAAATTTTCGTATTTACTAAAAACGCGGTTACGTGCACGTGGGCAACATTGAATCAAAAGGAATCACTTGTCGCAACATGCCATGTCCATTATACAAGTTTGAAGATTTCATTATGATTACGCATATGCTTATAGGTAGGGGTAGCAATGTTCGAGTATATAAAATCAAATGGTATTCGCTTTAATGTCAAACACTCAGTGACAGGTATAAGTGTAAGGTAGATAATTAAAACCACATTTTATCGAGGTGAATACTCTAAGCTTATAGATAAACATAACCGGTTAAATAAATAGCTTTTTAAAATATTATTTTAAGATTATTGTGCTAACCCGATAATAGTGATAAATAATCAAATAAATATGAATTATTTTTAAATATCTTCAGAAGTGTTTTATTTAAATTTATTATTTCGGTCAATTATTTTTTATTTAAAAAAATAATTATTAATACGAATAGAAATTGTATTTAAAGTTGATATTTGTATAGGCAAAATCGAAAAATAGCTTTATGAGAAAAATTAGCGCAAAAAGTCCGCAAGTGAAAAAGTGAACTGTGAGCCTGTCAGAGAAATTTATTAGTCCTATTTTAATCTTGATTCACAATTTTTCTATGAAAAGTTACAATCTGAAAAATAAATTCAATCGAGTACCTATAATTTTTCAGTTAAAAATCTTTAATTTCTTGACTTACTACAATAAGTCTATTGATAAATTAACAAAGTAAAAGAATTTTATCTCTTTTTTATTTAAAAAGTCAAAAGAACATACAATTTGGTTAAGGGTTTTTTGACGCGATGTACACTGATAAAAAAATTAACTTGATTCAAGAGGAAACATTTCGAACTGAGAATATCATTTAAAACAGTTTCTTTGTCTAGAATCACGCAAAAAAAATCTTGAACTAATAAATCATTCTTGGTTCACGATTTTTTCTCTTGAATCAAATTAATTTTTTTATCAGTATATATGTATTATATTAATTCAATTTTTTATGTTAAAAATTTTTTTCACTAAGAATTTGAATCTCAAAATCTAAAAATATAATTGAAAAACCATTTGTGATGCCGTCAATCAAGTTGGGCTCCGTTTGTCATGGCTTCACGTTCCACACACGATGGATTACTAAATTTAACTCTTTCTCCATAAGTCTAGTCTTCATTCATTCATTCATTTATTCATTCATTCATTCATAAATTTATTCATTCACTAGCGCTATATCATGTGTATTCGGTCAGAGAAAAGAGTTGATAGTATAAAAAGATTTTTTTTTTAATATTTTGAATGCACATACTATTTTTTAAAAATTGGATTTCTTGAATACGATTGTGAAAGCAATAAAATTATTTCATGATAAATTTATTTCAAAGTATGCAAGTGGGGCATACACTTTTTGATTTTGTAAATTTTCTAATTTTATATAAATATTTATATGGAAAAAATATTAATTTGTTATCTTTTGTAGATGAACATTTTACCAATCTTACTTTTAATAAGTTTCTATTGGGCTGCTGTACAGTCGCAACCGGTTGTAACGAATGAATTGGAAAATCTTTCTTCGAACTCACCTATTGAAAGTGACACCAAAGAACTTCATGTTCGGCATAAGAGAACTCTATTTTTAAAAAAGAAGCTTATTGGCGCAGGGTTATTAGGACTTGGTCTTGGACTCGCCAAAGGGTAAAATATTAATTATTTATTTGACAATTTTTAATTTTTATAAAATACTAAAGTGTTGTTATCTATTTATGTAGGTATAAAGCTGGGTATCACTACTCGCCAGAAGTACATCATGTTTACATTGCTCCTCCACCCCCTGTTAGATACGTCGAGTACGTGGAGAAACCAGTATTCATAGAGAAAATAGTGGAAAGACCAGTAGAAAAGTCACTCGTTGAATACAACAAGCACTGGTCTTCACACAATGAACCATTGTCTTTCTACGGATACCCATAATTGTTCATGTGTGAGTGATTTATTTTAAAAAATTTCCACACTGTGTTATATTCTATTTTAAGATTGTTTTTACAATTGTTGTTGAAGTTGATTTATGTATGTTGTATATTATATATACTTACGTTATTGTTATAAATTTAAGTTTTTCGTTTTATCGTATATATTTTTAGGAAAAACAGTTTACTTTTTTATGTGTTCAATAAAATAATTCAGTAAAAAGTATTTATGTCACAAACGTAGAATTATTGCTAAATTTTAAATATCCCTGGTTAAAAATATTGATTGAAAAGGATTAAAAATGATGAAATTTGAATACTTTTGAATACTTTCAATTCTTTTTCATGTATACATAGATATACAGTTTACATGAGGTGACTGATGATTCCCAATACTTTTCAATCAATATTTTTAATCAGACGTCTGGATGTTGCAATGAATACAGTGTAATGTTTATAAAATTTACACTGCTTTAAAAGAAAAAAAAAATTAAACTAACTTAATTTTAAACACACTGTTATTAGTTTGTTATGTTTGTATATGGTTAACGGAATCTTTGAACGTGATTTTCACCCACTTTAAAATATCGAATTAAATTGAAACTTATGATTGGCCCACCCGGGAAAAAATGATCAGATCTGATCAGATATGAGCAGGCATCAGTCTTCAGGTCTGATCAGAAATGAAAAATGACCGGGACTGACCAGACCTGGCCAGGCATGAACAGATCCGATCAGATCTGTTCATATCTGATCAGGTCATTGTTATGTAGGTCACAATTTACAATTACTTCTCCAAAATATTGGTCCTACAGTTCCGGGAGTCGGGAATTTTTTTTAGGAAATTTCCTCCTCTTTTTAGTAGATTTCATAGAAATCTAACTATTGCAATGGTCCTCATGACGAAACTTTTGAAAAATTTTGCTATATTCCGACTTAACTCGACGAGCTGAGTCAGAAAATACATATGGTTCAAAAGTTTATATATGTATGTATATATATATA